CAACACCAAATATTTTTTTAGGAATTATCGTCACTTACTGACATAGTAAAGAATGTGGAAAGCCTTCTGAGATGTGGTGTGATTTCCGAGATGTTTACTTCCTGTTTTTGAAATGAATCTGGCCTACCACATTTACAGAGAACACTTATTTCTGGAGTTTAAAAATAGAGAAGCACTTGATTAAGCCCTGCTGACCATAGCTCAGTGATTCAGCCAGTTGTACAGCATATGGAATTTTATAAAACCCCCACATGTTTGTGAAGTCCCCAGAATGAAAAGTTTTCATGTTCTCATCATTGACATTTAACAAACTGGGAGGTGGGAGGTTCTCACTGATCCATTCTTATAAAGTTCAAGAGATGATTTTCAGTAACCGCAAACGTTATGAGATTATTAGAGACCTTTTTAGAAACATGAAATGGCTTGTAATGGTAATGCTCAGTTCTAAGAGTTAATGAAGAGCTCCCTCTACTGTCAGAGATAGAAATGGGTTATCAATTATTATAATAATATCAATTATACAACTAGTATCCTTGTAGGGCTGTCACTACTGATTATATTGGTAATTGATTGGCAATAAATTACTATTTATCAGTTATTCTGATGAATATTTGAGTAACTGAGTATTTTAAAAAAGGCTAAAGAATAAAAATGCACCTAACTGGACCATAACGAATTATGCACAGCCTTTCAGAAAAGCCCTTCAAAAGACCCTCATAAAAGACATAAGTACACATATATCATACATCATCACCATACAAACTGAAACTAATCACTGCTGATTCATTTTTTGTAACGAAGTTTAATCAAGTAATCATGATAGCTGTACTCTTTTCCTTCAGGCACAAAAGCTGTTGGAAGAAATTCGTCAAAAAGCTGCTCAGAGTATCAAGTCATCCTATGGTGAAAATAAAGTCCTCACAACTGCATGGAACGAGACAATGAATCTGGTACATTACCCTCTATGTAAACAAAATATTTTGTTATATGTTGCCATTATATGCATATATTTTTATATGGGACAGATTCTAAACAAATTGATTTAATTTTCTTTTTGTGTGTTAGAAGTATTCTAATGTGAACTTTCTAAAAGACGTGTTCCAATAATGTAAAATATTAGTTCAGGAAACAATTATATTGTCTGATTTAATGTTACTGTATTGATGATCTTGTTGATTCTTAACTTCAAGAGTCAGAATTCTAAAGGGTCCATTTGCCCAAAAATGCTGATGCTACAAATAATGAGGTTACAGTCATGTGCAAAAAAAAAAATCTGGTCAAATGACAAGTTCATTTTAACGGAAAATAAGTGAACATTTCCTCTACAGAGAACACACTTAACTATGACATCTTTCAGCAAAATGTAGAGCACAATTTCTGTTTATTTGCTTAACACATTTTAACACATCATAATGTAATATAAAGTGTGCAGAAGTGTGTTCTCTTTAGAGAATGCGTTAACTTCTTTTATCTTAGAAAATCAACAATACATGTGATTTGACCAAAGGTGCACAGACTTTAGCATTTGACTGTATACGCTTAATGTACTTTAGCATTTGAAACTGGTAGCCCTCATCATCTGAAGTGATTATCAATCAAATTAGGTCAAACTAGATCTCAACCGTGACAATGTCTTTGTTTGGGGGGAGGGGAGTGGGGAGGAGTTTTCAGGGGCTTAGCCATGTCTCAGATGCTGGACTGTCTATAGCTGTTAGCTTTGTTTCAGTTCTCCATGTTAGCACCGTTGGCTGAAGTTCTTCCCCTTTAAGTTTGTGTGTGTGTGTGTGTGTGTGTGTGTGTGTGTGTGTGTGTGTGTGTGTGTATGTGTGTGTGTGTTATGCTTTGTCAGATGAAATGCTGTGGATACAACAACTACAATGACTTCACTGACTCCCCATTCGTAAAACACAACTCACAGTACCCTAACGACTGTTGCCATGGAAAACCTGCAAAGTGTACCTACAATGAAGCAAGAATAGAGGTACTGAGCACACTCTTCTCATCACAGTCTAAAACCATCACAGTGCTTCTGATCACAAGCTGCAAACATCATAAAAACTTCTTTTTCTAAAAAAAGAATGTAACTGCAAAGAATGACAGCAACAGTAACCTCCAAACTAAGTATAATATCAAAAATGTAAGTTTTAGCGTTTTTGCACTTTGCCTTTATTGCAGCTTCCATTCTTTTCAGGAGACTCGCTCTCAATTTTTTAAATAAATCTGCAGACATATTTTTCCACACCTCTTAGAAGTTGGTTGCTTTTTCTGTAGGACCCAAATAATCCCAAAAACATTCAGTAATGTTGAGGTCCGGACTCTGGATGATCAGGTCATTGTTCTGAGAACACCAGCAGTTTCGTTTATTTGCAATTATTTTCCTCTTTTTTGTCTATTTCCTTTTCCTTGACTTCTTCACAGCTACACATCCTTTCAGACTCATAGTGCTGAGTTGTCTTCTCACAGTGGAAGGACGGACAGAATCTCCTTAGATTTTTTCAGATCTGAAGTAACAAAGATGAAAGCTTTAAGTGCTGTTTATCTGATGGGGACAGTTTTGGTGGTCTCCCATGGTTGCAAGGATGTTAGGAGTCCCATTATCTCTGTTTTTTTTAATTATTACTGTTTTTTCCTGTCTGACATTCTCCTTCCATATAAAAGTGGATTACCTTATATCTAATCTCCTCAGAAATGTTTCCAAAAATAAATAAATAAATAAAAACTTAAACTTATTGGACATTTTGACAGTACTGTATGTTTACAGATACTGTGCTCATAGTAATAAATGAAAGGCATTGTTTACAATCACACTGCACATTATTTACTGAGCATCCATCCATTTATTCATCCACTCATCCTTCTCTTTATTTGTGCTGTCCTGTCTTCTTGCAGAATGTGACAGGCTGTTTTGATGCGCTGGCTAAACTAGTGAAGGATAACTCAAATTGGCTGGCTGGAGTGGCCATTTGCATCGCTGCCATAGAGGTATTTGACCTAAGTCACCAACTTTGGTCAATTTGCTTTCCTCCTGTAATAGTTGCATTCATGCATTGTCCACTTTATCAGGTAGACCTACCCTTGTATCTACACTCATTGTCCGTTTTATCAGCTCTTTGTAGTTCTACAATTACAGACTGTAGTCCATCTGTTTATCTGCATACTTTGTTAGCCCCCTTTTACCTTGTAAAATGGAGTAGTGGATCAGACACAGCAGTGCTGCTGGAGTTTTTAAACACTGTGTCTGCTCACTGTCCACTCCATTAGACACTCCTACCTTGTTGCTACCTTGTAGATGTAAAGTCAGAAACAATAGCTCATCTGTTGCTGCACAGTTTGTGTTAGTCATCCTCTAGTCCTCAGTGGTCAGTTTCTGGCCACAGGACACTATCCAAATAATACCTGTTCAGTGGTCCCTTGTTAGTCCTGGCCATGGAAGAAAGGGGGGCTAACAAAGTATGCAGAGAAATAGATCTGTAACTGTCTGTAATTGTAATCTGTAATTGTAGAAACATAAAGTACATCTATATGGTAAGTGGAGCTGATAAAATGAATAATGATGCAGCGTAGATGTACCTAATAATGTGACCAGTTAGTCGATATTAGACATGTTCGTTTACCATATTGTGGTCTGTCTTTTCTAGGTTTGTGCAATGATCGTCGCCATCTTACTGTACAAGAATTAGGGCAGTAAACCTGCAGGTCTGATAAGCAGTGCGATATATTAACGATCTCTCTGATTTAAAAGTGTGCTGTATGATCCAGTGTATTTCTGCAGTTTGTATTAAAAATATTGTCTTGACTAAGTATAAACTGTATATTTAAATTGTATCAACATAAAATACCCTGAGAGTGTGATGTAATTTCATGTTTGTTCATTGCCATTATCCATCATTATTAGATATCAGGTTAGGGGATGTTCCGATAGACAGACATACTTCTGTTGTGGTAACTGTTCCGTTGTGGTAACGTTTTCTTTTCGTCCATAGCTCATTGTCAAGATCAGGAGGGGATGAAAGACAGTATAGTGGTCCAAGCGTGAGGTTTAAATAAAATAATTCACTTATGGTCACAGGTAAATGAACAAAACACACATAACATATAGAAAATGGAGTTTACAGTTGCAGTTAAGGAATAATCTAAGCGCTCACTCTGGTAGCTTTTTTCAGAATGACAGTAGGTCAACAGGTATACATTGTCTATGCAAGTACTACAGTAATCACAGGTGTATACTTGTAGCAATCTGCTCAAATAAAGAACTCTGGCTCCAAGCCAGGCTTCTGTATGTAAAAAAAAATAAATCTGCTGAAGCTGAAGACTTTAATTATAAAAAAAGGAAAAAATTCTGCATTAAACACTGGATGACTTGGTGTCTTCAGTCTCCGAAAGAAAGTTGATGTACCTAATATTCTCCTGTCCCAAATTTATTGTGAAATACTGCAGTATATATTTCCAAGATAGGTAGATAGATAGTAGACAGATAGATAGATAGATAGATAGATAGATAGACAGATAAAGTTGATGAGGTAAATAATCAGATATCATGTTTTTGTACTGCTTTCTGTTTAATAAAAATCAAACAGCATACACTAATCACTGCTTTCTGTTCCAAATTTTTTGGGACCTGAGGTTTTTTTATGTACATGATAACGAATCTACTGAGCATGTCTCTAAAAGTCTCAGTCATGAATGTCTGTAACACAGAGGAGATGTTAATGCCTGCAACCATGACCCTGTTCATAATGGTCAGAAGCAGCAGATAATACAGTCTTCCCCTAATCCACTTCACAAATCTGTAATAGACTCTGTGCTCTACACAGGTCTAATTTTGTAAGGCATTCTAACAGTTGGTGCTTATACTGGCTGGAGTGGATAAAAATGTGATTCCATTTAACTTTGGCTTCAATAGTCTAGGTCCACATGGAGACCTCTGTCTTTCTGTTTTATAAAAAAGAAACCACCCAATGCCAGTGTCAAAGAAAGCCATATAAACCCGATTTGGAGAGCTTCCTGAAAGTATACTTCCATAGCCTCAATCTCTGTAACAGACCACAGGTTCCCAAGCAGGTAAGGACTGTGTAAAAGACATAAAAGACCAGATGTCAAATTACTTCCTTCTACTCACCTATGACAAAACAAAGTTCTTGGTCCAAAAGCTGCTAGAAAAAAAATGGCGTAATTAAAAAGGGTTAGCTGCGTAGCGGGTTAGCATCAGGAACATCCGTGAAAAACCTTGGTGTCACAATTGTTCCGTTCTGTCTTTCGATGCACACATTAGTAATGAAAACATGAAACAATAGCTTTCCTTCATCTTTGCAAATTTTAGAAACACACTATTCCCACAGGATGCAGAAAAACTAGCTACCTCAAGGTTGGATTACTGTAATGCCCTGCTGTCTGGATGTTCAAGGAAAAGCCTAGACAAGCTTCAGTTAGCCCAGAGTGCTGCTCCCAGAGTTCTTACAAGAACTAGATCATAACAGTATCATTCCAGTTTTAACAGAACTAGAAAAAAGTGCTATACAAATACATTTGAATTAACTGAACTGATAATTGCTTCAGGTGACTATTGTGGTATTGTGGAAGCTCTTCAAAGAAGATGTGTACAAGAGAGTTTTCAAAGCTCAGTATCTTAATGTTCAATATTTATTGAACACATAAAAATATATGAATATTCAAGAACATTTTTATAATATTGGACATTTAAAGAGCTTTTCTCTCAAACAAATGTCAGTTTTGAACTCTTCTAATGTTAAAATAGTGGAAGTAGAGGTACAAAGCAGATACTCTTAATTTAAGCAGGTGCAGGGAAGCACTCAAATAAAGCTAAAGAGTGAAGTCTTCAAATACAGCTGAAGACAAAAGCAGTGTAACAGTGTAATCAGCAGGATAATGTGACATTCACCAATCGGCTAGTCAACTCCATTTCAGAATCCCAAATAGGAGAGGAATACGTTTAGTATCATTTGGTCAATTCAGAACAGATGAGACAGGTGAGACTAAAAGGACATGAAAAGGAAGAGAAGTTTACAACAAGCAACAGCAGACATACAGATCATGTAGAATTCCAAATATTTTCCCTTTTACCCTCACTTTATTATCTAGCACAGAGTGGTTAGCTAAAACCTTGATAATGTAAACAAGTTTAACATCTTCATAAGATGCAATTCATCCATGGAAAATCCACATGCATTCATTCATTCACATTCCCACAAGCTGACTTCTACCAAGGCTTTTTGCTCAACTCGTGTAGTTTCAACATGTGGCATATGATTATAATGTAATATCTCTACTTTTTAAATGTGCTTATTATGTCTTATGGCTTATTATATCTCAGATGATCCTTCAGATGGTACAATTCATAACTCAGAACAGAAAACTCCCATTCATTTATGCACTGCTGTACCATAAGCAGTGGTACACGATTTAACACAAAGTAAACAGAACTATTTAATCAAATCAGTCTATCGTCTTTTATCATCTCTAATAAACAACTACAACTGATAGGCTTTAACAATAGTCATTGTTTTTCATTTTAATTCTCATTCTCGCTTTGGCTGTCTACTATCTGCCGATATTATCGGTTAACCGTAATACTCCTGTCATGGTTATGATCATTGGTTAATCTAAATTCTTCTGTCATTAAACTACAACATTTCACTGACTTTGCATTCAAACCGGAGGTCTGTACAACCAATAGACTTCAAGATGATGACAATAAAATATGATAGAGTTACATTTTCTGGCTATTTTGATGTTCCCAGATGGTGATGTTGATTCATTAGAAAACACTGTATGAAACATGTTTAAAGTATGCTCACATGTGCAAAGTTACATGTCCTTCCATGTTTGTCATCATGTTCTTAACAAGATATGAGCCACTTTTTTGGCCTACTCAACTGATTCAATCTACATTAAATGGGACATAATAAAAAAATAAAAAATAATATAAAGTACTACATACATTCATATAAATGCAATGATTTTTTGTGTCAGCAACCCAGTATATCCAAGATACTCAAGGTTAGATGATCAATCTCTTCAAAAATGGGCAGGAATGATGACCTTCTTATTGATATGGTCCACCTGGTGAAAGAAAAAAAAAATTCTTTACTTTCACCTCCTAGCAGTGTGGCTTCTTCTACTAAACAAGAATCTATTCTCCTGTGGCTGATTTTAACTGAACAGCCAAACCCTGAACAGATGTTTGTCTACTTCTTCAAAGTAAATTTTAAAACATTACACTATGGTTGTTAGCTTAACATCAGTCAGTCTTGGTGTTTTTGGTTATTGTGCTATAAGCGTGAATTAAAATATGTGATGTTGCATGTGAGTGAAACAAAAAAGGCGACTGTGAAATGATTAATACAGACACATTTCTCATTGATGAATAGATTCTGACATTCAGTCTTTCCACTGCACCAAGAAAATGAGATAATTCTACATATCACATGTGTACACTATTTTAGTTAAATTAAACAACAAATTAAATGTTAAATGAAATGAGTTAAATGACTTACTTCAATTATGCCAAAGGTGTTCATGAAGACATCTCCACTGATATTAAGTACAGACACTTTCTTCAGTGGTATGCAGTGACTGAAAGCACAGAACCTGTGCCCATTCACAATTACCTGAGGAAATTAAAGCAAACCTTTTGTTTCTCCTTTTACTTAATTTATTTAAGTTTCTGATCCACTCATTTCAGTTCTTGACATACTGTACCTCATAGCCTTCTGGATTAATTGCCATGCATATATCAAAGGCTCCTCCCTTGCTAAAAGGACCCTCTGGGGTCTCTTCTGGATTCTCCCACCGCCCGTTTCTGAAGCTGTCACAGACCACAGAGCATTCCTCACAAAAGTGGGGGTTGAAGTGGAATGCAACATCATCACCATCCATTGGCCCAGTCTTCAGATTTATTTCAAATCTGTAAACAGCACAAAAACGAAAATCTTAAATGAAGAAATTGAAAGAAAATCTTGTTTTGGTATTTCTGTCAATGGTTGTGTCAGAGTGTAAAATAATATTTAAGTAATTACATTTCATATTTACTTTTTAATGTGTTACAGTGAAGATTACTATAATGTGTATTGAGGTCAGTACTATGAGATCATACCCTTCGGCATCTGAAGGAACAACACCTTGGAAGAACAAAATCAGTCCAGCTCTCAACCCTCCAGTGATTGGGTTCACATAGGCTTTAATCTGTGGTGATCGTAAGCATTGCAGGTATAAGGAAGGACCAAATATTTATAAAAGTAACATGTATTATTATCATTCATGTAGGGTTGGACAGTATGACACGAATATAGTATACCATGGTATTTTTAAAAAAAATTTATGGTATTGCAAAATTATGATGTGTGAAATTTCTATGTCACGTCTTAAAGGCCATAAACACATGACTCTCATTTATATTTTACAGGGGCTAACTGGTTGGTGGTGTGGGAGCTCACTGATAGGTGGTGCTTATAGAAAGCGAGGGAATGTAAGAGCCAGGATAAAACTAAAGTAAAATAAATATGAAATGTAAATAAACATAAAAGAAAAAGTGCTTCTGAATGTTTACTTTGTTTGAAAGATTTAAGAAATTACTGAATTCCAATTTGAAAAGGATAAATTTTAGTTTCTTATTCGACCATCTGCATTTATGTATTTTATTCAGTCCCATTGCCACAAGTGTATAAAATCAAGCACGTAGCCATGCAGTCTGCCTTTACAAACATTTGTGAAAGAATGGGTCGATCTAAAGATCTTATTGAATTTGAACGTGTGGCATGGGGTTTCATGGCCAAGCAGCTGCATGCAAGCCTCACATCACGAAGCACAATGCCAAGCGTCGATCGGAATGGTGTAAAGCACGCCGCCACTGGACTCTGGGGCAGTGGAAATATTTTCTGTGAATGGATGAATCACACTTCTCTATGTGGCAGTCTGATGGACGAGTCTGGGATTGGCAAACGTTAACTGCCTGACTGCATTATGCTAACTGTAAAGTTCGGTGGAGGAGGGATAATGCTGTGGGGTTGTTTTTCAGGGGTTGGCCCAAGACCCTTAGTTCCAGTAAGGGGAAATCTAAATGCTTCAGCAGACCAAGACATTTTGGACAACTATATGCTCCCAGCTCTGTGAGAACAGTTTGGGGAAGACCCTTTTCTGTTACAGCATGACTGAGTCCCAGTGCACAAAGCAAGGACCATAAAGGCATGGCTGGGTGAGTTTGGTGTGGAAGAACCTGACCTCAACCCCATCAAACACCTTTAGTATGAAACAGTACAGAGACTGTGAGCCAGACCCTCTCGTCCAATATGAGTCTCTGACCTCACTAAAGCTCTTCTGGATGAATGGGCAAAAATTTCAACAGACACACTCCGGACCAACTCCATATTAATACATATGGATTTAGAATGTCATAAAATGTGATACAGTGATAGTGATAATAACAGCATGTTTAGAATGCTTGTGTGGGCGAAACTGTTGTATAATAAACTAACTGTTGTTATTTCAGCTAAGTTTTCTTTGGTTGCCAACTTGCGCAGACTCCACTATCAGGTGGCGTGAGCTGAGAGACAGTTTGATGACGACAGGGCTTAATCCACATTGGCTAGAAAGTCTACCGACAACCATGTGGACACAAGCAGTGTTAAATAGAGCACAAAATGTTTGTTATTTTTACATATAAAGCTGAAATTTATATTCTAAAAGAAATGTTACCTTTAAAGTGTGAACACTGTGAGCTGGTTATGAAAAAAAGTCATTAATCACGCTTGGCATTGGTTAACTACCTCACGAACAGCTTGCTGATGTTGAGCGATGTGCTGAAATGTTAAGCAGTACTCTGAGTCACCAGTATGTGTATCTCCATTAAAAACAATGATTTTGAATGTTTGGGCCTTGTGGGATTGGAGTGTGTTGGTGTTAAATATGATAAAAGCTCAGCAATGTCTACATACACCATAGAACATGTTTGATTTTGGCTTTCACTCAGTCACTGGATTTTTAAGGGTTCACACTCTTAAAATCCTCTAAAGAGGTGTCATTTTAGTATCAGTTAGCTGGAACCAAGACTATGCTGTGACTATGCATTTGGCAGTCTACTCAAAACACTACAGTTCCAAACACCACAGCACAGGTTCCATTTGGGAACCTTGACTTTTGCTCTCTCATACATTCGTTTTTATCATCTACACTTTATCTACACATCATCTACACAGTTTCAGCAGAGTAGCAGTTAGTCAGAATCAAGCCTGTACTGTGGCGTGTGAAACCGTTTGTTTGTCTGTAACCTGCTTGCTAAGCAAATGATAAAGTTAGCTGATCAGGCTACAGATACATCACAGACACTCCGCCCTACTGTATACTGTGGGACCGGAGACAGTTTGAAGGTATTAAAAAATGAGAAACCGCCCAACCCTAAATTCATGCCGTGATTTTCAAGATTTATATTGTATTGCCTGTATTGTTTATGCCATGAATTTATGACATGAAAACTATCTAAAAGGGCAATGTGTATCTCATCGCTGTCCAAAGAAAAACAAGTATCTCCAAAATGGCAACTTTACAGGAGAGGTCAAAAACATTCTTTATTTTTAATGTAAGTCAATGTGAAGATATTTTATTCCAAGTAATTTTAGAGTATTGCTATTGGTCCATTCATCATGAAAATTTCACATGATGTAAATGACAGCCATCATGTTCAAATGATGCAGAAAACTAAAAATCAACAAAAATGGCGATGCATGTTTTTCGCTGAACATTGACTATATGTTTATAAGACTAATCTTTAACCACTTAAACTCAAAGCACCCACTAGCAAATCCACAAATTAGTTTCACAGTATCAAATAATTTATAGCAGTACAGAACATTAAACTCACATATTAATAACTAAATCATAATTCTAGAAATCAAGAATTTAAACTAGAAGGAACTTTTAACCCCCTCTCAAATGCAATATTACTCACAGGGTTGCAGACTGGATTTGGGACTCCTGACTGGATGTTAGAAAGTTTCCCATGTGAGTTTTCTGGACTTAGTTCCATACCAAAGGTAGAGTTACTCCAGTTCTGGGCAGAAAAAAAGTTTGAAGAAAGTTGAATATATCTTATCTACAAAATACATTTCATACTCAACAAAGACTTTCATGTGTCCCAGCTGTGTAAGAAGTGGATTAAGTTTGCATTTCTTTATTACTGTGAAGCAAATCACTTCTCTCATGTAAGTGTGACACAGGGGCATAGCCACGGAGATTGATCACTCATGATCAAATGAGGACAGTATATTTATTGAGCTGCATTTTTAAGATAATGATCAGATTTATTTTCTAGAAGTGCTATCTATGCATCATGGTCAATCAAATCATTATGTTCTCTACCAACTCTGCCTTCTTTTCCTCAGTCCTGCTTAGCAGCCTTCAGTCTGTTATTTGCATGTTCATTACAATGTCCTTTTACTTGATAAAATGTCTATTTCAATGCATCAAGACATATAAGGTAAGACATAAATGCCCTATAAACATCTTTCATGTCCTGCCTGGCAGTATGCTTTAGCCAAGGATGATTAGGTTTAGGGTTTTAAGTTTGCTGTGTTTTTTTTCCTAATCTTTCTCAACTTTAGGTTTTGTCATCTTCATTGCAAAGAGGTTGTGCCTGTGGTGAGCAGATGCATGCTTTCTGCCTACACCACTACTGTGACTGCTTTATGTGTCGCTAAAATGCGGCACGTTTAACTTAGAAGAACAAAAGTAAATATAGAGCTGAGGACTAGTCTGATTGAAACGTGGGTGACAGCAAGCCTTGTGTGCTTCAATATTAAAACTTCATACTGACTGATGTTGAAATCCTCTGTTTAGTGCGGTGCCTAATGTTTAATCTCTCATTTCTGCTGTAATGACAGGGACCAAATTTAACTTTAATAACGTTTTTGACTTGACTCATTATATTGCCTCGCTATCATGAGTGGCTACCACAACTGATGAGGAACTATGGCTAACTGCATAGCAACGCCTACACCATAAACGACGTTACTAAACATCTGGATGTACTGAGAAAAATAAATATATTTGTTATACTGAATTATTGATCATGTTGTGCACTGCTCTACAGCGACATCTGGTGGGGCCAGGACGCTAATATAGAGACACTCTGTTACATTAGCTACTTAAAAATGCTTACTTGCTGCACTGAATCAAATCCTGTGCTTATTTATCAGCTTGTGTTTGTTACAAATGACTGCAAATGAAGCTAATTGCTAACTTAGCTAGCTCATTTACTACAACTCATTTACAGTTTGGCACTTTAGGCTCACCCCTCTTCTGAAAGAAATTGATCAGAATTTGTTTGCCTACTTTTTGCTTCCTCTCTGTCTCTCTTCATTCCTTTTGTTTGTGAAATCCTGATTTTGGTTTTATTTTAACCAGGTCAGAACTGGTGACCAGCAACTAACTGCCATCTTTTATTTTTGAGGTGGGGGTGGGGTGGGCAACAGGTGAATAAGCAGAACTTGAAAGATAATGCAGTCATATCTTATTTATTTGTATAATAACAGAGTATTATACAATACTGTTATTCGAAAAGGGAGGGCCCATTTTAGAGGGCCCTCCACTCAGGGTGGGCCCTGGTTAGTCAGATCCGTCATTACCTGTGGTCCAAAGCCCCTGTTCTCATCTACTGAATTTGGGAAGAAAGCATTTTCATGCAATTCCTCATTGTATGGTGTATTGGTTTTATTTGCCCTAGATATTTTATATATTTTAAATGTGTTCCTAATATTGATACAAATTACTTTAAAATTATAAAACTGAAATTCTAATTTATTTTTATTTACTATTATGTACTACATATTGTATGTCTTTCAGGGTCCGAGTATAAGTTTTAGTCTCAACCTCAAATAAACACATAAATGAATAAATGAAAGATACTTCAACATATGTTTTGTATGCAGCCTCCAATGATACAGATGTAAATATTCTTATTTCTTGAATTACTTTAGATGTACTTGCCTCTTGAGAAATGAACTTACTTGAACAATACCGATGGTGTTCATTAAGACATCTCCACTGATGAGAAGGGTAGTGGCTCCCTCTATTGATACAGAACCTCTGGAGCGGAACTCATGCTTCTGACCATTCACAAATACCTTAAAAGAAACTATAAGTCATTCAAGTGCTTCACAATATTTATTATATTTGACGTCTAATTTTATTAATCACTATACCTCATAGCTATCTGTCTTAATGACAATAAAGATATCAAAGGCTGATCCTCTGGGTAAAACACATACTTTATATTTATCCCTAAAGAAAGCAAAATATGTGAAGTGACGTGTGAAGATTTCGCTGAAGCAAAATTCCATCACAGTGGTATTGTTTTCCTTTGGCCCAGTCATATATTTTATGTTAAACCTGTAAAGAATAAAAAAGTTTTGGTATGTAAAAGTAATTATCTATCTAGCACATATCAGACATTTGGTGTATTAAATATCAGGAATTCATACCCCCTTCCATCTGGATGAACCACCCCTTGGAAGAAGAAAGCTATTCCTGGTTTCAGCCCTTCAGGGATTGCAACCACATAGGGAGTGCCCTGTGATTAAAACAAATATGGCATTCAGTCAGTGATATAATGTTTATATAGGAAGCATTTAGCTGCTGCAAGGTCATTTCTAAGGTCATAATTTCCATTAGAATGCAGAAATTATGAAACTACTGAGAAGCTGGGCCATAAGTCAACTGTTTGCCTGTTTATCTGACCCAACTAACTAGCGGTATCCTTTAAACTGTACACTGTCAAGGTCTGTGTGTTATTAAGAACGTCTGCAACCTTAATTTTTTTGTATTAGGGCCAAATTTACCAAAAGAGGTGCTAATTACAGACCTTGACTGTGTGTAATTAACATAAGAGTGGCAGGAAAACAGTCATTTGGAAATTATTTTTGACGTGTATTGCATTCAAAATAATACAACAGCATATTAATATTATTGTTTTGCCTCATGAATTTAGTTTTTTTTTTTTTTCAAAATAAACACAATTAAATTTTTATTCTTGCAGAAAACGCTGAGACCATAAAGCATTTAACACTTTGTAATGTTGCCATTCCTTTTCACAACATTTGTGATGTAGTGTTTTAGGTGTAATTCTGTCCCATTCTTCCTGCAAACAAGTTTTAAGGTGTGCAACAGCGCAGGGTCTTCACTGTCGCATTTTGCATTTTAAAATGGGCCACACTTTCTCTGTTGGGGGCAGGTCGGGACTGCAGACAAGCATAAATGTATATTTACAAATGAAATGAAGTTGACCAGACAAAACATGAAATATCTTGTGTTCATTCTGCAATGAAAGACAAATCGAAGTAAAATTTAAAAATCACTGCTTTTTATTAATTTGCATATTCCGTACTATCCTAACGTTTTCTGATTTAGGGTTGTACTTAAGTTTTGTTCCTTTGTGTTTCATGTTGTGTGAAAAAACACAGAAACGAAAGCTGATATTCTGTGCTCTAGTCTCATGCTCATCTTTTTATCAAGAATACAAAATTGAATATTCATCAGAAATGACCCATTTCACCTCATTGTCCCAGTGTTTTATGCATCATTGTATTTATAATTGACTCACTTTGCCAGGTCACAATATTTACTTAATTGAGGTTTACGCATTTTCACCTCAGTGTAAATGATACTCACAATGCCGCTGACTCGATGTGTGACCTCTGACCTGATGGTTGACAGATTCCACCGTGAAGTGATCAAGCTGGTCATTATCTTATTCCTTACTTCATTACAGAAGGAAGTAGTAATATCCTATTGGGAAGAAAATTATATTATTACATATCTTCCCCAGGATCTCAAACATAATATTGTTATTTTTCTTCTTTTTTACATTTTATTTTTTGATGCCATCAATAAAAGAAACTGGTGGATCTAAACAACCACCTTTCATTTCAACAGGCCCACTGTAACACTGACCTTGCATTGAACGGAGAAGAGGACGGAGTCACTGGCTTCGCTCACTCCCACATCACTAACTGCTCGGTAGCGGACCCGGTACTGGTTTGCTAGCTGCAGTCCAGTTAGTGTGAAGGTTTCTTGTGCATCCGGAGTGTCTGTGAATTCCCAACCTTCAGCATCAACTCCTGAAACATCTGGCTGTGCTGCTTTGTGTTCCACTCTGTACCACACCGTTAGTCCAGTTGAGGATTTCTGGAGCTTTAGGATCACATTCCTGTCCTGAACATCAATGCTGGGAGCCGGAGGCTTTGACACAGGCTGAAAGCTGCTGTCCACCATTTTCCCTTTTCTGTATAGGTGGATGGAGGTGCCAGAATTGGTGGAGTCTGAGACTGAGGCGATGATAAACCTGGTTTTATTTTTGTCTTTATTGGCCTCAGAAAAACTTTTGAAGAGAAAAAGATTCTCTCTCATCCTCTCAGATATTTCAGGATTGCTGAACCAGGCCTGGATGTCTTGGTCACTTGATTTTGGAACTGCTGACAGCTTTTCAAACTCATTGACTCTGAGGAACTCAGTTATGGCTAACAGATAAGGATCATCATATTTCAGAGAGGTGAAGGAGAAGCAAACTACTGTGTCAACATTGGGATTTAAAAGAATGCTGCTGAACTGGCCTGAAGATGTTACTACTGGGACATCACTCAGTTCCCTGGTGTAGAAATTCAGCAGATCTATTTCACACTGAACATTTTCTAACCACTTTCTCAGCATATTAGCCTGAAAGAGGGACTTGCCATGGATCAACAGGATGTCAGTCAGTGCCTGCTCATTCACCTCTCCACTGCGGATAGCAGGAAGGAGCCTGCACAGGGCTTTTTGGAACAACACTTTGTATTCACCAAATGATTGCTGGAATATTTGCAGCCTTTCTCTCAAATCTTGGAAACTGCTTACTGTTCTGTTTTTAACCAAGTCGTTGCATTTTCTCTCTACATCTCCCAGCTCCTCCAATACAGTCTCTACTTTAGATATCAGTGTAGCACCAATTTCTCTTTCCAGCGTAGCTGCTTTTTTGTTCAACAGGGCAAGGGGATAGAGCCAAACCTTCACTGGTACAGCATCGTTCTCCGTCTGCCTCAGCAGAGATGGCAGCTTCTTGTATAGCTGCAAGGCTTCCATGTATGTGGTAGGATTCTCCTCAAGCACACAGTCGCCATAAAATGTACAGCTGATATGTTCAGCCAATTCCTTTTCTTTGTCATTCATCTTTAGATCTCCTTCTCCCTCAATGGAAAGTAAAGGGATCTTCTTAACCATTACATTTAAATTTCCGTCGACCTCTTGTTTGTCTTCATCCTCTGAGAACGTTTTATCAAACACCATGAAAACCTGGGCTCCATACAGAACAGCTGTAACAACATGAGTGGCGGTTTTCTCCTCAAACACCTCGGGGTAGGTGATTTTGCCCAGCTGAATCATAGTAAGATGTTCATATCTTGTTGTCTGGCTGTACTGCAGAGTAACCCGGGACTGATGTGCTGAGGTCTTTTGATCACGCAAGTATTTGGCTGACCCTCCAACTTCCACCAATCCCCCAAGAAAGCTGGCTTTAAGGGAGGTGCTCACATTCATGAGGCTGGCCTTTTCACTGAGAGAGTCAGAAGCAGAGAATTTCAGATCTGTGTTGGGCTGTGGATGCACACCCAAATCCTGAGTCAATGATGCTTTATCCCACAGAGTAACACCTGAAATTAGTGACACACTAGAGCTGATCATTCTGTTACAAACTGTAAGACAGTCAAATGATGTCTTATGACTACGGATATTCACACTCAACCCCACTATTAGTACCAACCACATTAAACTTTCATTATTATATGGGGGATGTAGAATGCCTTTCTTTCTATGAACTCTTCTTATACATATTTTATACCACCATTTATCATTGAAGGGACATGATTAGAATGTGTATTGCCCAAGCGTTAATTTAAAAATCTAAAATGAATGTCTAATGTCTAAATGAATGAAACGGATCATTCTGAGATAATCTTATATTTATTAGTAATTAGCAGCATAACTATGATCTTGCAGGCCCCAGCGCAAAAAAAATAAAATAAAATAAATAAATAAAGCCCTCCTATACATGTTTTTTGAATTAATAAAAAATGACAGTGTAAGGGGAATGTTTCTGTTGTTATGTCTTAAATGAGTTGATGCTCTCATGGCATGCCACTCCACCCATGAGCATCTAATGTCACATGTTTTTTACAATATCTGTTTGGATTACTATATATTATTTGTCAGTGCAGTTATTTAATATGTAAGACAGATGAATACTGTTAAAAGAACACAAGTTTGGTTCTTTACTTCTTGCTGCCCTCCCGCCATAGCATGGATTTGTTCAATTCCATCAGCAGCACAACTGTGTTAATTTAATGAGAGATTGATTTGATAAAAGTATTGGATGGTAACTGCAACTACTGGAAGTCCCCAAGGGGAGCTTTAGGAAATGGTTACATCAGCATTGGCTGTTCATTTGTATGTATTCTGAGGTTAGTGTTTTTGGAAGAAATAAACACTTACTTCCCAGATAAATGGTTTCACAGATCATTTCTCAAACACCTGAGACCTTTGCATGGTATTATATAAACTATAGTATTGTTATTTATTTAGAATAACAATTGATTGTAAACTGTCACAAACTGACACCAAATAGCCTACTATTTGTCTGTACTATTGCTTCTCAATAGCTTTAAAATGAAAAACAGAAACTGAAACCCCATTTCATGCTGTGCATCAGCTTTGTGCTGTTATCAGTTAGGACTGAAACAGGAACCACTGTATCGTATCATCATTGAACTATCACATATTAAGTAACAAATTATAGATTATTAATATATTACGGAATCCTGCTATCCAAAAACAACTGTGCATGGTGCTGTAGTAGGAGATATCTATGGGTTATTTAATTGCACATTACAATGCAGAAACTGACTGTGCTTAAAAGAAATTAATAAATAAATAAACTCAAAGCTTTTTTTAAACTGTGGCATGTGAAAGAGCATGAAAGCTTTACCTGGAATAAAGGAATCTCTGCGACAGTCGTACAATGTGCCGGGATACAAAGACCTTCCTAGGGCTGCCATTTCAATGGGCTCCATGACTCAGGAAAAGGGAGAAGGACCTGTCATATAAATACTTCCAGATTATATATGATCATTATTTTTCCAGAACACAGGAAAAGAAGGTAATTGTATTCTTTTCAATTCTATTCTGTTCAAAATACATTTTAAAAAATGAAATTGTGCAATAAATCTTTATGCCTACAATGCTTGTTCATATTGTGACTCCAACTCCCCACCAGATGGAGACATTCCCTCAAACCCCAAACACGCCCTAATCATTTCTCCTGAGAACAGAAAATCATCTTTGGAGTGAGAAGTCAGGCTGTAAGGGTAGTTTACCAGTTTGCTGACTGGTTCCAAGAAGGTACTAATATTACTGAACAAGTAAATGTGTCCATTCTTTCTTCATGTTTGGGAAGTGCATCATGAATAACATTTATTTATGATTGCAATTTATTATAAGATCCTGAAAACAAAGCTGACAAAACATTTTTTCCTCAGAGGTTTCTTCCTCTCCTCATCTCTTTGGCTTGATAATCTTCTTAGACAAATCTTATTTTGTAATTGCTGCAAACCTGGCTAACACAAAAAGACAGGCTTCATCTAGAAGGAATCAGCTTACAAAACAGAATAGTGGTTCCTTCACACAGCAGCTGAACATGGGTAGAAAGAACTAGAAACCTTGCCCTCCAAATTACTTTGAAATACCAAAGGTCTTACCTTCCTGAAGATTCTCAGAAAAGCCCCGATATGTCAAAATATCATCTGTAGGTCTCTCTGCTTAAGGTTTTCCAATTTTGAGGACTGTTCATGACGGAAGAAAATGTGTGTCCCTGGTATTCAGAAGAAATCAAGCATCTTATTGTGGAGCTTTGTGTCTAGAATGCATACAGCTTAAACAGTGCTCAATACTGCAATCAGTATCATGTTACAGTGATCTCAGTCACTGTACGCATGCCCAGTAGAGTCATCTGCCTGCTTAACACAGCAGAACACAACGATCTCTCACAACCACAGGAACAGGTTAATGGACTGGGTGGCTAAGCCTCTACTGATAGGTCTGTAGTTCCCAGGGGAATTTTTTATAGCCCCAGTATGTCTGTTCATTTGAAACATTTAGAGTAGAAACAGACAGAAAATGTATCCAAAAATGGCTATTTACTCAAACTGCACTCAAGCATCTCTTTGTAGCTTGTATAAAGCACAGAGCTAGAATGACTTAAACACTGTAGCCATCTACTTACAACAGGCACAGATCAAGCAAAGGTACTCACGCAAGTTCACGCAAGCCTACTTCCTAGTCCTAACTATATTATTATATATTATTATTATTATATACGAGTCCTAAACACTTAAACACCCCAGCTGCGTCCCTTAGTTTGTTTAATCATTGGTATTGGCAAGAAAGAGAATTAACCAATCAGAATCATGCATTTTTTATGTTTCTGTTTCAGAAAAAAAAATAAAAATGGCATTGGTTTTTTTTAAAGGATTTGAGAACTGATGTGTTAATTTTTCTTTATACATACCGAAATCTGTCCATCATTTCCACATGAACAAAACAGTGCATCAATGAAATTATTGCTGAAGGAAAGACATAACTGTATTGGTGTATTTTAGCCATACATTAGAAAATTGTGTAGTTGAAATTAAATGCATCACTTGATCCAGTGCACAATATTAACTTTAAGAAAAACATAGGCCATGTAAGATATTAATATGGAGTTGTTTCACCCTTTGCAGCTATAACAGCTTCCACATTTCTGGGAAGCTTTCTACAAGATTTTAGAGTGTGTCTAAGGAAATTGTTGCCCATTCATCCAGAAGAGCATTAGTGAGGTCAGACACTGATGTTGGATGAGAGGGTCTGGCTCATAATCTCTGTTCTAGTCCATCCCAAAGGTGTTTGATGGGGTTGAGGTCAGGGCTCTGTGAGGGCCAGTCAAGTTCTTCCACTCCAAACTCCCCCAGCCATGCCTTTATGGACCTTGCTTTGTGCACTGGGGCTCAGGCATGCTGGAACAGAAAAGGGCCTTCCCCAAACTTTTCCCACAAAATTGGAAAATGAACAATTGTCCAAAATGTCTTGATTTGCTTAAACATTAAGATTTCCCTTCACTGGAGCAAAGCGGCCTAAACCAACCCCTGAAAAACAACCTCACAGCATTATCCCTCCTCCACCAAACTTTACAGTTAGTGCAATGCAGTCAGGCAGGTAACATTCACCTGGCATTAACCAAACCCAGACTCGTCTATCAGGCTGCCAGATAGACAATCACTCCATAGAATACGTTTCCTCTGCTCCAGAGTCCAGTCCTTTACACCATCTGATGCTTGGCATTGTGCTGGATGATGTGAAGCTTTCATGCTGCTGCTCGGCCATGGAAACCCATGCCATGAACCTCCTAGCGCACAGTTTTTGTGCTGATGTTAAAGCCAGAGTAGGTTTGGAACTCTACAGTTACTGAGTCAGCAAAACGTTGGCGACTTTTATGCACTATGTGTCTCAGTAATCAACAACTCCTCTCTGTAACTTTACATGGTCTGACACTTTGTGGCTCAGTTGATGTGGTTTCTAAATGCTTCCACTTTTAATAATACCACTCACAGTTGATCATGGAATATATGAGGAAAGAAATTTTGCGAACTGGCTTGTTGGCATCCTATTATAGCACCACGCTCAAAATCACTGAGCTCTTTAGATCGACCCATTCTTTCACAAATGTTTGTGAAGGCAGACTGCATGGCTAGGTGCTAGATTTTATAAAGCTGTGGCAATGGGACTGAATGAAACATCTGAATTTAATGATTAAGAAGTGTATCCCAATACGTTTGTCCATATAGTGTGTATATCATTCTCTCTCTCCTATCTCCTGTGCTGAATTGTAGGCCTATCTCTCTCTTCTTCAAAATGAGGGTCTGTGTGCTAATGTGAAGTAGAAGCTTCTCAAAACTCCTGCTCAGTTCGTTCCTCCCCCACAGTCCTAAGATGTGTGACCATTATAAACAAAGTTTTTTGAAAACAATGAAAATATTATAACAGATAAGGTTGTCACAGACAAAGGTACTGAATTCTTGCCTCCTCATGATTATTTAACACCTTAAGTAAATAAATGAAAATAGAAATGCTCTCATTGGGTCATTTCACATATTTTGGCGAATGCTATCATCATGGCAACATTTACACAGCTACATGAATCCATAGGTTGTACAAAAAGGTATAAAATGCCACTTTTTTCTTTACTGCCAACATGTAAGCATAGCATTAGCCTACTCTATTGTTTCTCCTAATGGAAAGAGCTTAGCTGATCTGTGTTAGCTCATACAGGCAACTTATGTTGCTAGTATGTAGTATATTCACATAGTAAACACTGTGAATGAAAGTTCAGTACCATGAAAAAAATAACAAGAACTATCCTCAACCATTCGCCCTAGACATTCACATGTAGTGCTGGTAATGTCTGGCTGATCTTCTAATGATGTAGTTACAGGGGTTGGACGGGGATGTCTTGACGGGTGCTGTCTGTTATCCAGCTTCTTGGCAGGCTTAGTCAGTCTACTATGCTGCTTCTGAAAAGCTGAATGTTCCTTTCATGTCTGCTTTCATTGAATTTGTCTAACCTGTAACCCAGTCACTAAATACTATGGTAGAGCTGATGAGAATGTGGATCAACATGGCAATGAAATCAGGCAAAATCAAGGAAAGCAGTTAAATAATTAAATTTCATTTTACTTTTACAGAAGCAGCACTGTTTATATAGTACAATGGCAACATTTGAATGTAGAGGAAAACATATGAGTATGAAAGCAGATAGCATATACAGATCATTAGTCCACTCTTTGTAGGGATCTACACTGTCAGTATAGATACTTTATCCATAAATCCCTGTTTATCATTCCTCTCTAGTTGGTTCAGATAAATCCCGTCTCATTTTGCTCACTTTTTACAGAACAAGACTGAAAATCACAATAGAGCAGTAACTCTTTATGCTCTCACTGTGTGTGAGTAGTTGTAGCATGTAATTAAAGAACTAACCCTGATAATATGGCAGAATGATCTGACTAAATAAAATTTTGGGAATGTCACTTTTACCGTGTAGCAAAGAAAGTGTCTATGAAACCAACAAATTATTACTGAACAGATAAACATAAAATAATTAAAAATAAAATACATGAGACTTCCACCAATGTTTACAGCTCCAAATAATAATTAATAACAGAAAATGACATATATACACACTAAAAGGGGCTTGTGGCAATTTACCAAAGCAGGATTGGTATAATATCTTTTTTGAAAGTTTTCTTTTTTTATTTTTCATAAATTTTCTCATAATGAGAGCAGATGTGTGAAATTGAATAAATAAATACACACAGGACTTTGTTGGAGATGCATTTATTTCAGTTATTCTATAAATTCTGAACACATAATGCTTTACAAATGCATTTATAAGGTATTTTGTGGCACACATGACCTCATTGTGCTGGACGTAAGATTGTACAATTGCTTTCAAGCAATCTGTGAGTTCAGACCATGCCTTCAACATGAATTTCTGATTTGGTTTAATAAGTTGATGGTGACGCTGTCACAAGCTGTTCAAACAGACATCTGGGTCTGAACCCCTGGTGATCGAGCTGAGGGCGACAGCGGCAAGGAAAAACTCCCAGACGTGAGGAAGAAACCTTGAGAGGAACCAGGACTCAACAGGGGAACCCATCCTCCTTGGGTCGACACCAGATTGTAAAGACTGTGAAAGCTTCGTCACCAGAAATGGAAGGTAGTGATGGAAATTTATAGGGTGTTAAACTGGAAGGAGGAGGGGTTTCAAGCAACTTCTTTATACTTAAACACATAATACATCTTCATAATGTCAAAATTTCTGAACACATTATAGTATCTGTTCATTAGGTCATTGTACACATAAATGCTGTTTTACATTACAACATACTGTAATGAGGTTCTTGTATATGTTCCACAGAGCCAGGCCTTCATCCAACTAAAAATTTATTGGGTATAGAAGACTTTAAAGCAATTCTGTATGGAATGGGAGAATAAGGGCTGATTTGCGGTGGACCTGGCACTGCGCCAAATTGATTTTAATAAGAATTTATTTTTTACAAAAGCATAACTTTTATATGTAGTTTGGATTTAATAAACTCTGTTTATTTTGTATTATATCTGGAAACTGTAATGTCAGGCTGGCTGGCTACAGGTGCTAGACTGTTAGCATTTAGCATCCAAAGCTAAGTCAGTAGCAGCTCAGATAACTTTATGTTAGCCAGTAGAGACAAACAGTAAATGACAGCGGACTTGTTCAGGAACATAGATAACTTTAGTAAAGGCTTTAAGATATATTTCCTAATTAAAGACTTAAACAGTTCCTGCATTGGCAGAATATAACATTTAAAAGACATTTAAAAAAAACTTAATCACTTAAAGCCTGTAATGTCCTGCTATAAAGCTCTATAAAATTGTGTAGCTCATTACAACATAAGTGTGTACAATGTTCTTTAGAAGAGATTCTAAAATGCATTATGGATTCTAAATTTTTAAAGTCAAACACTCTTATTTTATAAAGTGTTTTGTGTGTAATTATAACTATTTAAAAGCTTATACAAGTTAATGCCTGATATTAAAACACATTATATAGGCCATACAACACCTTATAAATGCATCTATGTTACATTATGAATACAGGATCCACAGGATGTATTACCAAAAAAGCTTGTAAAGTAGTGCTCAACATGGTCGAGTCATGCACTGGAAGGGGTTGGGCAGTGCTCTGCGGATGGCTGAGAAAATCCAGTTTTGCTGTCAGTTGGAGACACACTGTGGTGTGAAGTGATTGGTGTGGCTTGAGACATTCCCAACGAAGAATGTTCAG